GAGTTCTCTGCTTTAACCAACAGTATGGCTGTGCCACTTCAAAATCCTGCCCTCAAAGTGTCATACAGGTGAAGTGTTTTCTCTGATCTAGTGATGATGATTACTATAAAATAAAGATATTTAAATTCTTAACCAAACTTGTATACCGGGGAATCAGCGGCGTCGGATGAAGGAGTATGCCTTGCAACCGCAGGGTTGTTGGTTCAAGCTCCGGCTTTGTTGTTGTGTTCTTGGTCAAGACACTTCACCCGCATTGTCTATTGATGGTGGTCAGAGGGACTGATGGCGCCACGGTACGACAGCCTTGCTTCTTTCATTGAGCCCCAGGGCAGCTGTGGCTACAATGTAGCTTCCCACCATCAGTGTATGAATGTGTGTCTGAATGATTGAATGACTGAATGTAAGGTAAAACACTTTAGTCAAGTCCTCCGAATTGAAAAGGCGCTATACAAGTATAGGCAATTTAACATTTTAACTTTTTAAAAATCACTCTGATTTTGTTTTCTTCAGTTTAAAAGAACTTGTACTTTTTGCTTTAAGAAAGAAACTTCTGGAATTGTGTTTATAACTTGGATCAATTCTATTTTATGAGGCTCATTTTTTTTTTTACAAAGTTCCCATTCCTAATTGTTTCATAAAAACTAATTGTGTGTCAGAAGGCTTCAATAAAATATAAAGAACTATAGTTTAATGTTTGCTCCTTTACTGATTGTGCGGTGTCTCCTCTGCTTCCTTTTTGTGCTATCTGTTCACATTCAGATAACAAGTTTCCAGATGTTTTCTGGGCTGTCTTTCCACCCCACCTGTCCTTTTATCAACACGTCCCTGTGGGAGATGAAGCCGGAGGCCGACTGACAAGGGTGCGGTGTTTGGCGATGATGTGATATATTTGAACAGCGCTTACCTTTACCTGTTTAAAGAATGAGATGAGGTAGAGGTTGTGCTTGGCTTAGAAAGGCAAATAAAGGTATTTCCCCCAATAGGATGCAGATGCATACCTCAACGTTAATAAGCAAAGCTTTCCAGTTCCAGCAGGGTTGATATTATGCTCTCAGTAGAAGCTTTGAGTTCAAAGACAGTTTTGGTTTAATGAAGTGATGATGAAATGTGTTCTCCTACCATCAGATCTGTCAAACAAAGCGTTATTTTAAAGGTAAAATATTTTCTAGGCCTGCAAATACAGTCAGGAGTTGTTAGAGGAAGTGGTATACAACCTCACTGAAATACAGTGAGTCTCATATAGCGTGATGTTAGGGTTTATCAGCAGGATTCTACCTGATAATCCTTACATAATGTGTTAAGTTGGTCTTTGTCTATGAAGGTGCCCCCAGCTTTATTGTCTGCTTCTCAGATTAACCTGTGCCATTCATTTCTGTTTGATCTTGTTTCCAGTGTGTAGGCTAAGAAATGATTACGAAGTGCATCTTCCATCCACATTTACATGTTTGGCTTTCAGTTATTTTGTTTAATCTGCCTTTCATTCAATGCATTGTTAGTTTAAGGGAAAGGTGTTATTCCAAAATGCCCCAGGGATCCTGGCAGAAGAGCATTCACTTTGTTCTAGTTCCTACTTAAAGTTTCTTCCTGTTAAAGGGGGTTTCCCTTTGCACTGT